TCGTGTAGGTCCAGCTCACGTGGAAATTTTCTTCTCTGTCATGCCCAGGCTGCGTCTGTTTAGTTGCTTTCAGCGTCATGAGAAGGCTGCTGGCATTTCGTGGTTAGCTTTGACCGCTTAAATGTTAGTGGCGTCTCCACTGGACCTCAGGTGGGGTAAGGAAAAGCTGCAAACGTGGTGGCACCTTCCTGCGGGGGGTTCTCCGTACAGAGGCCTGTTCGAGTTGTAACTGGGGGCACACGCTAAGCAGATGGCACAAACAGAGTTTCCGCAGCTGTGATTTTGCTATAAGATTGTGCTCTTTTCTCCCATGCAGGCATCTTTGCTTACCTGAACTACCATGTTCCCCGGACAAGACGGGAGATCCTGGAGACCCTTATCAAAGGGCTCCAGCGGCTGGAGTACAGAGGCTATGATTCTGCAGGTAGCTCTCTCCGAGCAACAGTGGGTTTTTTTGAGTTTTGGCATGTAAATGATGATTTTTGTGGTGTGTTTATGAAAGGTTTCTATGGTCTTCTGCTTTTGAAGAAAGCTGAAACACAAACTGGATGTGCCTGTGATCAAGTGGTCAGAGGTTTGGATTAACTTTCAGCATACAGGTTTCTGTAACCATTCCCGATGCCTGTTTGCTAAGGCTTTGAAAATACCTACAAGATGAGAAAGGGAAGACTCACTTCTAATCTAGGGGGTTTCTTGCCTTTATCTGGAGGGTGAGCTGAGGGGAGAAAGGGCCCTGTTTAAAAAAAAAAAAATCAGCAGTGCTTGTTTACGTAAAATACTGCAATATACTTTCTGGACTTCATACTCTTCATATTCCGTGGTGGTGCTTAGGTGTGGGGATCGATGGCGGAAACGACAAAGACTGGGAAGCTAATGCCTGCAAAATCCAGCTTATCAAGCAGAAGGGGAAAGTGAAGGCTCTGGACGAAGAGGTTCACAGTACGTATTCCCCTTTTCGTTCTTTGCCTGCTCTCTTTCCTTGAAATGTCCTCTCATCTTATTTGTGTTTTGAATATCACCTGTTTTACCCCGAAACGCTGCATTTCCAAATAACTGTGTATAGAGTACCAGGGCTGTAAGCACTCTCGCCTGTGCTGTTTGAAGAACCCAATGATCCTGTGGACGCTGTCATGAAGTTACAGAGAAGTCCTGACTTCTCAGGACAAAGGAATCACATCCTTTTAATATAAAATAGACCTGAAATACATTTTAGAAAGCAGACCTCAAAAAACCCCAAACAAAAACCTTAAACTGGGGAAAAGAGGAATTACTGGGAGATAATTATCAGAGACCTAGAACTTGGGCTAAGAAGAAAAATGCTCTAATAACCTCCCCCGTTGAATTTTAAATTTTCACTTGTAATGCTTGTCCCAACTAAAGCTGTCCATCCGAGTAGCGATGGGCTAAGCAGTTGTCTTCAGGAAAGCATTAATGTGCGTGTGTAACTGTCAGATTGATGAGAACGCAGAGAGTGAGGTCCTCTGCTTCTGTTCCTGCCTCTCCACGTTCCCTTGGCTTGAACGCTAAGTTTATTAAATCTGTGCAGAATTCAAAGAAACCCAAAGTTCCATTGAGCGGAACACGGGTGAGCTGGGTGAGAACAGGAAGATGCTTTTCAGAGGAGCGAGATCTCTGGTTTGCATTCAGGAGCTGCTGTGGTGGTGCAACTTAACTTTTTGTAGCCCACGCTGGTGTTAAGCTCACGGTGCAGGGTGCTGTTCACGCAAAAGGAAGGTGGGTAGATCTAGAGAAAACCAGGAACTGAAGAGGCCCGACGAGGTGGTATGTGCATGACAGAAATAAAAGGTATACAGAATATTTCTGAAGATATGTTTGCCTTTTCAAGAAAATTACAGGATATATGGTCTTAAAGGGATTGTGGAGACACTTGTAGAGCAAAAGGAATATTTTTTTTCCCAAAGAAATAATGCCAATGGCATGCTTTCTAGAGACAAGGGTTAGCGATGAATATTCTAACCGCAGTGGTACGTAACTGTGAAATGGGCTGGTTCAGGCCCAGCTGACGGCGTGTGGCAGGATGGCAAGGTGCACCCAAGGGAGAGAAATTAAGGTTGGATTCTTCCTTAAAAGTTGTTTTTTGTTTTGGCGGGGTGAGGAATGCAGGGAGGTTGTTTGTGTGCGTCTGCATTCTGAATCCCCTAAAAACACGCTTGCTGTCTAGTTGGATTTCCCGATTCTGTTTCCCTGTCAGTATTGCTGTCCTGCGGACCCTGGAGGCCTGGTGAGACTCCCACGTTGACTTTGGGGTGGGGACAGTCCCTCCGTACTAAAAACTTCTCTCCTGCTTCTGCTGCAGAGCAACAGGACATGGACCTCGACATCGAGTTTGATGTACACCTTGGAATCGCCCATACCCGCTGGGCTACCCATGGCGAGCCCAGTCCTATCAACAGCCACCCGCAGCGCTCGGATAAAAACAACGGTGAGTGTCTTTGCTTGGGGAACCGCGTGCTCTTCCGCAGGCCTGGAGCAGCTGGAAAAGCTTTGCTGCCGTCTCCGATGCCCGGTGCGTCGCAGGGAAGGGTGGCCGGCCCCAGGGCGGTGGGTTTGTCGCAGGCCGTGATGCCGAGCCCCGTTGCTGTGAAGCCGGAGGGATTTGGACTTGAATTGCTGGGTATGTTCACAGCAGTGAATGGTCTCGGGAAGGACTGGGGCTAGTGCTCAGAGGTTCGCTGGTGGGTGCGTGGGCACGGTGCAAGGAGGAGGTAAGCACAGAACGAAATCTCTGGAATTTTCGTGGCTCTTCTCTGGAACAGAATTTTGTATACTCCCCCCTCCATTTATTTATTTATGTTTTTTCCTAATCCCCGCCGCACAGAAGGGGTTGGTCTGCAGCGTGCGGCTTGGTTGCAGTGTTCGGTGCAGCCGCCCGAGGAGCGGCGCGCTGCGTAGTGGCTTCCAGCAGGCTGGAAACTGCCAAGCGCTTAAGTGCCTCCAGGAGCTTTGCAGGACTCGGTAGCCCTGCTCCCGCCCGAGTCATTCTTGTCTTCTGCCGTCGCCAGCCGCGCCGAATGGGGCAGAGCAAGGGAATCGCACCGGGAGCTGAAACTCTTTATTCTGCCGAGTGCGGCTCGTCACACAATAAAGCTTTGTGGTCTCTGCTGTCTGTGTTACGCGGCCGCGGGCGCCCGCTGCCAGGCTGCTGTGGGGCTGAGCGGGGCCTTTCCTCTGTCTCCAGAGTTCATCGTCATCCACAACGGCATCATCACCAACTACAAAGACCTGCGGAAATTCCTGGTGAGTGACCCCCGACTGCGTCACACGCTCCCTCACCCTCCCCTCCCACTCACTTGTGCTCGCCACACTTCCCACTCGCTCCCCGCCTCACATTCACTCTCCTCCATTCCTGTTCCCCCACTCATATTTCCACACTCGCTCTCCCCGCTCATCTTCACACTCCCACTCCTCCGCTCGCACTCTCACGCTCACTCTCCTCCTCTGCGAGTGCGTTCTCACGCTCCCCCGGTCACTCACGCCCACATTGCTCCTCGCTTCCCCACTCACCGCGTTCCCCCACTCGTATTCTCACATTCACACTCGTTACCCTACTCACAACTTGCACTCCCCCTTTCCCCCACTCACACTTTCTCGCCTCCGCTCGTGCTCCCCCACGCGCACTCGCCTGCTTAAACTCCCTCCTTCCCCCGCTCACTCTTCTCAGTCCTCCACTCGTTCCCACTCACGTTCTCACACTCCCCCACTCACAACCCCTCCCTATTCCACTCCCTCCCTCTCGCTCCCCCACTCACTCATCC